ACTCAGCATTGGGAGGGGCTTGGACAGGAGGTGGCAAGGGGCTGCCATTCCAGGCTAGTGGATGGGGAATAAGGACTGGTGGTGGGCTAGGATCAGTCTGGCAGTGGTTGAAAGGCCAGGGGTGATAGCATGAGGCGTGGGAGAAAAGTAGAAGTGTTAAGAGGCTCTGGAATGCTTAGCAGGAGCCAAGCCCAGACGAATAGAAGTTTAAGGGACAGACGAATGGAGTTCCAACAAGATACGGCACAAGGAATCAAGGGGGTCAGCGAGAGCTTGGTTTGTGGATTATTGCTGAGGTGGATAGGGAAAAAAGGGGACTCTGAGCTCTTAGATCAATCCATGGCTACCCGGATTAGGATAGAATCAGACCTGGGATTGGGACCAGGATCATACGGTCGTGAACAAGCAGACCCTATACAACCTGAAATCTAGGGATATCAATCCCAATATGAGGGCAAAATCAATTCAAACTCATTTCAGACTGAATGATAAAGTATACAAGACTGAGTTTCACATAGCTAAAAATCAAGGCCCCCATATGCACTCTGAAACTACTGAGTTTCATATAGTTCAAACTTATTTCGGACTATATGATTATTGTTGAGGTGGATAGGGAAAAAGGGGACTCTGAGCCCTTAGATCAATCCATCATTACCTGAATCAGGACAGAATCAGACCTGGGATTGGGACCAGGATCATGGGGTTGTGAACAAGCAGGAAGCACGCTATACAACTTAAATTCTAGGGATATCGATCCCAATATGAGGGGGAAATCAATTCAAACTTATTTCGGACTGAATGATAAAGTATACAAGACTGAGTTTCATGCAGTTAAAAATCCCCCATATGAACTTATTGTATACAATAGCATTGTATATTCTACAACACTATTATGCAATAATATATAACTATACTATACTACAATATAATAGTATATACTATATCATACTACATGCTACTATAGTTAAATTTTTATATACAAGTATAATATATATATATATATATATATATAATACTATAAAGCACATACTACTATACTATGCCACAGACTATACTGCTATAGCATGCTACTATACAATGCCATACTGCTATACCAAATATAACACTATACCATACTATAATGCTAGGGAATATGGATCTCGATACCTATAGGAAGAATTGAGAAACCAAAAGTTTAAAAATCACTGAGGAGTGAGATTCCCTTCCTTGGAGCAGAGGAATTAGACTCTAGAGCTAAATCGAACCCTTGGCTTGAAGATACCGGCAATTATGGGTTCTCTACAGTATATACATATATAAGAAGAATAATGAAAGGAGCAGAGGAAGGTAGCCAATGATCATAGGGACTTGGGTTCTCGGTACCAAGAAAGGTGCAGGGAAAGGAGGCGAGGTCAGTGAGAGAGGGAACAGAGGGCTAGGGAAGAACAAAGTTGGTGCCATCGTAGAAGAGTTCGTTAAATTCTGCTAGGGAAGTTGAGTGATATATGGTTGGGAATCCAGTGGAGAGGTAGAGTAAGAGATATCTTTTGCATAAGCATTCTAAATGTCCAAAAAGCCATCCTGACCAGATCCATATATTGCTATAAAAAGAATAGCATTATAGCATCACCACCCTTAACTACTAGTAATAGTAATAGTAGCAGTAGTTGTGGCGTGGCAGTGGTAAGTTAGTGGTAGAGGTACCAGTGGTGGTGTAATAGTAGTAGTGGTAGTGATAAAGTATAATGCTAGTAGCAGTCGCTGTCAGCAGTACCTACAACAGTAGCAACAGCAGCAGTGGTACCAGTGGTGGTAGTAGTAGTGGTAGTGGAGTTAGTAGTAGTAGAAGCAGTGTGGTGATGGTGGTATATGAACTTCAAACATCCTTTAAGTCATACAATAACTATCAGAAGCAATTTTTTAAAAGCTCTGAGGTCTGAGCTGTTCCTAGTCACCCAGACTCAGGTGCGCCATCCAACCTCCTTTTATGGGAAAAAAAGGTCAAAAAACCAATTTATTTTTCAGGTTTAGTGTTCTATTCCAACCAAATAATCCATGTCTAACTGCCAGTTTGATTGATTTGGAGACAAATTCCATCTTAGCTCAAACAATTCATTTTTTTGACCGAAATTTGCATCTGGGTAAGATTTTTTCATAAAAATCTCATTATTTTTTAGCCATAAAGCCTAATCCACCTTTCTTGCAATCTCTCTCTCATTTCTCAACCAAATCATGTACAATTTGATTCAAAATGTTGGTATTGGAGCCCTCTAACAAACACCCATAACAAGTATTTGGATTAAGAAGTAAACGAGAGTTCAAATTTCAGAGGTTTTTTTACCGAGATTGAATATCTTCGACTTCTCTCTCATATTTCATCAAAATGAACCTAATACATTGATACAAAAAATCCGCAACAAAATTCTTAATCAAAACCAAAATCTCTAAAATCAATTTGTTGTTTTGCCCATCTTCTTATAAAAATGTTTTTTATTTTAATTTTTTTGACTTGATGTTGATTTACACCTCATATTTTATGAAATCACATATTTGGTTTTCAATCTTCGATTACATATTTTTCTCCTTCTTTTTGACATTCTGATCTATTTTCTCTTGTTTTGTTGTTCTTAAAAAAATTGGCCACGTTGGCATGTCTGTTACAGCGACTTCGCTGGTTTGACTTGAACCGGTGGGTTAACGGTTCGACCCACCAGTCTGATTTTTTAAACATCATCAAAAGAAAATGATATCATGCAAGCTTAAATGAGCCCTATGGCATTTCATGGCGATAAAGGTGGTCATCCACTATGAACCCTTCTTTCTTTTTCTAACCCTTCGAAATGCCAAATTTTTCAAATGACTTGAAATGAAAATATCCACTTTTTTGTTTTTTAGCTTAGATGAGAGGTTTGGGGTCACCCCAAAAGGGAATGGCGTGCTTCAGCGCTTTAATGCAGCATGGATGAGACTGAGCATAATTACATTCCACGAACGTTATTGATGCTTCCAAGAAAGCTTGCTTGTGCAAATTATCATTACTAACAAGATGCTTCAAGTTAGAAAAGTAGTACTGCCACTTCCTTATTCCAAGTCTTGTTGACGGATCATGGAACCAAGACTCGTGGTAAGAACCATGATTATCTACTGGTTTTTAGCCAACCAACCATGCTGAAAAGAAAAAGTAAGAAACAAAAGTAAAATTTTAAGAATAGAGAGAACTAAGGATAAAAGACCAAACAAACTAGGTTGTACAAGGCAGTTTTTTCTTCTGAACAATTTTAAGATTGAATGGGTTTATGTGTTTGAAGATCATGGTCAAGATCACAGTTAGCAAAACTCCATCTAGAACTCGCTTTTGCATAAAGGCTTTTTTTTTTTAAGAAGGTTTTAAAAAGCAAGATTATCAAAAAAGCTCGCTATTAGAAGGACATGAAATATAGTCGTATTATAACATTATTCAAAAGAACTGAAAAAACTTCCTGCAAATGACCGCCAAATTATTCTGCTTTACTTGTATCTTTAGTGTGAGAAATAAGTTTAATTTGTTGAAAATGAGAGTGTAAATGATGATTACATGATCACTTACAACATGATGCTTATATAATCACTTACAACGCTCGTAAAGAGTCCTATCGAAACCAAGAAATATAGGCCCGCCTACCATCCACATTAGAATAGATGGAGTTTTCCTAAAAAAACTTGTTAATGGATGAATACCTCCTAGGGATAGGAGACAGGGCTGAAGAGAGAGCCAAAAAAGGACCTTTTGTGTACGATCCTGCATAATCCCGAATGTTATCAGTTCCAGGACATGGAACATGCCATAATACAATACATAAATTTAATTCATTTTTTCTCGAGCCATACGAGGAGAAAACTAATAAAACCAGTTGCTGCTGATACCTCCTTCTCGGTTCCTTCTTCCATAACCCGAGCTTGGAGAAGGAAGAGATAAGAGGGCCCTATAGAGAATGTGGTACGAAATCCATAATAGAGTCCGACCACAACGACTGAATTTATCTACATAGATAAGGATAATAGGTTACCTAGTAGAAAAGATTTCAAAAACATCACAAACCCCCTTTCTTTTTATGTTGCAATTTCCCGATTACCATATGATGATTTCTAATCGCAGATGTTATGCTGGCCATACCTTCACATGTCTTTTAGCCTCCATAGTTTTTGGCCCACCTTTTAACTCCATTTTCTGGGGCCAAAACTGAATTAATACCGGCTTTGTTACAAAAAGATTTATTGCCAATGGATGAGTTTCTAACTATGGCCAGGATTGCAAGAGTGTTTATTTTCTATTGATAAAGCAGTTCAAGCAAACTTTGAGATTGAATGAAGTAATGATGCATACCTGATTTTATCATTTTTATTTACATGTGAAACATTCTCTTTTTCTCATAAATCAAATCAAATATGGCAAATCGATTCTTAATATGAAAAAAAACCCTACCAGACTACTTTCAGCTCTTTCCAAATGAAATGGAGCCAGATAGGTAATGTTGCGTGGGTTAACTACAAAAAAATACTTCAATCCATATGAACATGTTGGCCTGAGCAATTGAAAGGGATAAATGCCTTGGTATACCAACCTTTTTCAACCAAAGTTGACTATTGTGTAACAGTTATAACCCACAAATTAAGCATATAATTGTTTCCAAAATTTCGAATGGTCAATTCTGCTATGAAAAGGCTCCAGATCATGCAAATAGCAAAACAAATGAGCGAAAAATGTTAAAGTTCTAAAAAAGACTCTGGCATTTCAATAAGAATGAACTAATGAATAAAATGTATAGATGAGTTGCATCTCCAAAAAATATTGCAATGGTCAACCTATTGCCAAAACAATCAAGAGCTACAAACAATGCAATAACCTCATGAAAATTCTAAACTATTAACTAATATAAACTTTATTTTGCACTTAAACAGTACTCAGACAAGTTTAAGCCTACAGTTCAAATGGAAGACGCTTGTCACTTACAAGATTAAGGTAATCAGCTTAAACAGAGATATCTTTCCAAAAAAACATTCAGGCTGCAGCATCTAATCAACATGAACTGATCAGATATACAACATTCCCTTCTATGGATACATTTACAAATCAAGCTGCCTAACGAAACATATTTTCTCGTCGTCAATGGGATTGGCTGAAACACTGAAGTGCAGCTAATTTTAGCAAGAGCACCAATTTCACATAATTGGCTAGTCTTTTTAACATTCTCGGATGAATGTTCTTGTTTTGCAAAGGCCAAATCTTCAAATACACTCCATTGCCAACATTGAAACGCAAAATAATATCTTACAAATTCATATATGGGGAAACAAGAAAAAATCATTCTCTAAACCCAATTCCTCCAAATCTTGTACTCACAATTGCTTCAAATCTGCATTCATCAATTGCACCTGCAATAAAACCCAGACCTGTGCTCGCAAATATCTACTTAGTTGCATTAGACAGAGCTTACAGTAGTGCCCATTCTTCTCTCTCCATGTCAGAAGCGATCAAAAGGTCAAGTCCATAGCAAGTAGGACCAGCCCTTCATCAACAGTGCATCCAATTCAACTAGTGCAACTTCCATTTCTCGATCGACGAATCAAAGATCGGACACACACTGCAATTATTGGCATTGGGATCAATATTATGCAGCGATTCTCACCAATATGTTGAATTTTTAGGTAATGGGGTCAAAGTACAAATCCAAAATCCCGCACCTGGAATTCTACCTTCGATAGAAAATTAATTCCTTTTGGGTTTGGGATTTCCAATTGCAAACAGAGAAGCCACTCACAATTCTATCAGAGAACATGACATTCCAATATTGCAGGCCACCCATTTGAGGTCTTGATGCTGAAACCTCGTTTTCAGCATAAGACCGTTTAAGATACATTGTCTCACACTGGCAATTTCATGAACATTAGAGAATAACATTTGCATGCCATGAAACATAGAAAGAACAGGAGTAAGAGATTCATCTTTCTCTGTCAGAATAAGACAATTCAGAAATCCATAGACTCTCGTTCTCCAAAGGTTTTGAGAAAACCAGGCCGAAGCATAACACCCCATCTGTCTTTCTCCCTCGGAAAAAGTAAAACAAGAGAGAAACTTATTTCAATGGAAATATCAGTAAATCAATCTGCTTTGCGAGGAATATCAGGAAAGCAGTCCGTCGATATTCAATATTCTTCGAGACATATACTGTGCTCCCTCGGGAGCATAGTTTAGTTCTCCCTCTGTGTAACTCACTTTTTTTTAAATATGAAATTTTAGTAACCACTCTACAATCACTATATGATTATTCTTAGGAAGGAAAAAATCAAAATTTGAGTTTATAATACTTACGTCTCATCTTCTAAAAAATATGTAGTTTCTATTCAATTTTGAGACATTATTTATCTTTTAAAAAATATATAGTTTCTATTCAATTTTGAGACAATGGGTGCACTTAGGTAATTTTTTTTTAGGCAATTTTTTTTATTGAAATTAATGTTAGCTCTCGAGAATTTGGGTTCCTCATCCTCAAAACTAATGCGGGGTTTTAGCGTGCTGAGGGAGTAGAATATCTTTCATCGATTTAACATTATTCTAAAAAAAAGTTTGAATTTTGAGTTTGCTCACAGTTAGGGTGCTTCGCGTGAAAATATTTATCATACGAGGTGTTTTTGTGGATTTTACTATTACTATTATTATTATTACTATTATTATTAGAACAGGAGTAGTAATAATATGACATGTTTGTTTCACATTAAAATATTTCTCAATAAATAGTTTCACATTAAATAATTTCCTCATGTGGATAAGTGCGGGCATATTTTAATTAACAATTAATTAACGTAAAAATATTTCTACACCTAACCACGTGAAGGAATATTTTCACGTGAACACAAACCAAACGTGCTCTTATTAAGAATTGCATATTAATAGAAACTGATATACGATACATATTAAAGTATATTTAATTTTCCCATACATACATTTTTTTATAAATAAAAGTCCTTAAGAAAAGTCTTTCTATACATTCGTAAGAGCCCACTGACGTACGAATGTCCATCTTTGAGATGGACGTCCTAAAAAACTCACACGGTTTATACGGTGTAGAATTTTTTTCAAAAAAATCACATTTTAAATATCAAATTTTTTTTAATGTTCATGAACATTCCCTGAAATTTTAGATTAAAAATTCATTTCTAAGACAGTTTAAGTGCTAACTCATAAAAACCCATCTTTTTTATAATAGGTGTGATTTGTATAAGGCTTAGGCTCGAAACAAGCAAAGTAAGACGTACTTTCAAATAGTGTTGAAAGATGTTATTTCATTATTATAAATCTTTATGATGGTCCGAAATTTTATTTTTATATTCAATTATAAAATTTAAAGCTTCAAAAATAGCGTAGATCAAACAGATCTATAAACACCCGATAATCTTGCAAACTGATGGTCTATAAAATACATTACAATATGCACTATTTCTAATATTGAAATCCATTTTTCTCATGTCTATACATCTTGAAATCGAGATGATCATTTTGAGGAAATTTTTTGGCCTTCAAAGTTTAAAACAACCTCTTTTAGTGAAATTTCGAGGAGTGTTTTGATATAAACTCTATCCTTTTAGGGTGTAGTATGTATTCCATACATGATATTACTTATTTCCTAAAAAATATCTTGAAATATATGAACTTTATCATATCTTGAAATATTTCCATCCAAAAAATTATAGGATTTGTTGTTTTTGAAAAATAGAAATGTACCATTCCATAAACTTATTTCAAGTACTTGAAAGTCATGTGCCCTACATCCTCTCTAGACGCAGGGTCCCTTGGATTTGGTCAATCTATATTCATATAACTACTGTTCACCGCTAAACTATAGCTTAATAATGTAGTACAGGGTATGTTTGATTACACTCGAATATATTGATATTTCATAATATTATATAATCTAATATAATTCTAATAATAGAAGTTTGTGGACCACATTTGAGAGGATCCTTAATAATGTAGTATAGGGTATATTTGATTACACTCTAATATCTTGATATTTCATAATATTATAGATTTTAATATAATTATAATAATAGAAGTTTGTGGACCTTATTAGATGATTTAATCGTATTATTTAATAGGGATTATATACAATGAGATCATTTACTTTTAGCACAAAGAAGTCACATTTACTTACAATCATCTAATGTGAAATCTAATAGCTTTGGGCGTGTCTCAAAGATCGATAAAATTTATTTTAAATTTTGAATTTGGTTAATGATGTAAATGCAGCCACCCAATGTCACATCTAATGATCAAATATTAATTGTGACTAACCTTGTACGAAACGTAAACGGTCTCGGTATACACTTTCTATAATATCAGAATAACCGTCCTAGATCCCCATTTATTAAGGTTAGAGTTTAAATTCGGGGATACCAAATGGGCGGCATTCGATTTCTTTGTCACTCGACGAGTCTCTATCTCTCTGTTTCACATAGCCTCGCCACTTCTTCGAAGCCGGGACGCTATGTTTCCTCCATTATCGTTGAAGTCGTCAATCTCTACACTTCCTGTCCTTCTCCAAAGCTCCATCGCCACCACCATCATATCCCATCCAAAATGCCTCCTAATTATGGCTATTTGCATTATGGTTTAAGCCCCGTGTAAAATAGAAGCAAAAAGCTCATATCTCTGAAATCATTGGAGCCCAATTCTCCATAATTGCATGTAACTCATCAATGGATTCGAAGAAGATTATGTGAGAATCACCAAGTCAAAACGGATTTTCTCTAATTTCCTACGACCTTCAATGTCGGTGTGGATCTGTCAAGCTCGAAATGCTCTAGTCCATCCAATTTCTTTGGATTCCTCCAATTTTTACCTATTTTTCATAGGTTTCTTGTTTACCTTTTGCTTTCTTCTTTGGGTTTTTGTTTACTATTTTCCAATTTTCTCTGGTTTTATTGTTTAGTGATTTTTGCCCAATTTTGTTTGAGTTTTTGTTTTTTACCTGGTTTTCTTTTGCCCTTTGTTCGCTGGTTTTACACCCATGTTCCCATTTTCTTTGGGTTTTTTTTTATCGTGTTTTTCTCCCAAATTTATGTGGGTTGTGTTTAATATTTTCTATCAAATGTTCTTTGAGATTTGTTTACTGGTTTTTCACCTAATGTTCTTTGGGTCTTTTTTATTTTTTAGTGGTTTTTACACCATTATTTTTGGGTTTTTGATTATGTTAGGATTTAATAACCCTCTTAGATGTGGAAATAGGAATTCCAAAAGTTAGATCTCACCAATATCAAAGCACGAGCCATAATATGATAAATAAAACATGAAACATACACTGTCACAAAAACACCAAAATTTACGTGGTTCACCCTAAGAGGGCTACATCCACGAGCAAGACAAACTGAAATTAATCTTTGACAAAATCCAATTGAACAAACCCTTTTAGACCCTCATCTCAATTCCACAACTAAACCACATCTCAATTCTACAACTAAACCACTGAAATTAACCTTCGACGAATCGAACAGACCCTTTTAGACCCTCATTTCAATTCCACACCCTCATTTCAATTCCACAACTAAACCACTATCCAGGAAGAGACGCATCTCTATCCATAGCTAAATCAGAAGAGACCCTTGAAAGCAATCGAGACTTTTCTCTCATTTAAGAAACTACTCAAAATCTTCACAGGAGCCACTTCTCTATCCATAGCTAAACTGAAAGAGACCCTTGAGAGCAACTGATACTTTTCTCTCATTCAAATGATGACCTACCCAAAATCTTCATAGGAGCCAGTTCTCTATAAGAAATCAATCTATATGAGGCACAATCTACCTTTATAATAAATCAGTCTCTTAATCTACACGAGGCACAATCTACAAGAGGCACATATGTGGTGTTTCTCTCAATAAGAAGCTTTCTAATCTCTAAGGAGGTGAGTTATCATTCTCATATGGTGACCCAAATAGGGCACACCAACTCTTTACATTTTCATACCATATATATAAAGTTAGAAATCCATATTAAATCAAAAACTTCATATAGATGTTACATATATGTCAAAGTTAACAGATATAACAAAGAGTTAAAATGTTATTGGATTTCTATTTGAAACTTATTGATATCAATCTTAATCCCATATGAGATTTTCTTATATGGTTGATTTTTGGATGTCACCATATCCAACAATTTACTCTCTTTTTACCCAATTTCCTATGGGTTTTGTTTATACCCAATTTTCTTTGGGTTTTGTTTGCTGTTTTTTCTTTTAGTTTTCCTGGTTATTTAGTTTATTGGGAAGGTAAATTTGGTGAAGGTGAGTTAGGAGACAGTTTCAGTCTTCAAGAAGCCTGCCCATTTTGAATTGTAAAAGGATAGATTAATGTCAATGGAGATCTCTTTCTATCTCTATCTTACTTTTAGAATAGTCCCTAAAGAACTTGCTCTTAGGAATTGTTACTTCAAATTTCTAAGGCACCCACATGGCCAAGCATTATAATATTTTTTTCTTTATAAAATTGAATATTCATATATAATTAAAAATATTTTATATCTTTGGCGTTTCCTTTCCTATAATGCCATTGTTGGGAACTAGGAATCCCGAGTTGCTGTCTCTATTACATGTATTCAATCGGCTGTGTACAAAATATCGATTTAAAACTTGTAGTTCTGAATCGGTATCCTTCAATGATTTAGAGCAGCTAATTCGTCGTCGATGTTTTCATGTGTAAAACACAAAACATACGACCACTGGTCCTAACCGGTGTTTTTTACACAAAAATATGGTCTAAAAACTTGAAGTTTCGAATTAGCGACAAAAACATGCATTCGAAAAATTTTATATAAGGGTGAGGTTCTGAATAATCAAATTAAGACGCACTTCAAAAATTCATTAGAAGAGGTTGTTTTGATACTAAAAAATCCTCAAATCGATCATCTCGACTTCAAAATGTATGGACTTGAGAAAAAATAGATTTAAAGTATTGGAAATAGTACAACTTGTAATGCATTTAAGGAGGCATCAATTTACGATCAACTTCAAAATGTATGGACTTGAGAAAAAATAGATTTAAAGTATTGGAAACAATACATCTTGCAATACATTTTATGGAGCATCAATTTTCAAGATTATCAAGTGTTCATAGATCTGCTCCATCTACACTATTTTTGAAGGTTTAAATTTTATAACGAGAGATGAAAATAAATTTTCAAGCCATTACAAAGATTTTCAATACTAAAATAGCATACTTCGACACTATTTCAAGATGCGCCTTATTTTGATTATTTAGGGCCTCACCCTTATATAAACGACCCCCTTGACATATTGGCTCCGATCCGATCATTTTGGGATAAAAAAGAAAAAAAACTGCAACGAGAACTGGTATGAATAAATTAGAAAAATATAGAAGGGAAATTTATTCTAGCATCTCCTATTTATTAGGATTTAAAAATCCCACTCATATTTTATAAATTATATTTATGTCTTGTTTTTCAATTTTTTTATTTTTTCCCCACTTTATCATCACTGTGGACTTTAAAAACTGGAATTTAATCTATTAACAAATCGGTGTGGAAATTGAAACGATGAACATGTTATTAGTTCGGATTTTAAAACTCCGAAGCAATTGTTTGAATTTTGGGAAAAGGGTTTAAGTAGTTAAGAAGTGGTTTTGATTTTGAAATTCCAAAATTAAATTTCAAATAATCCGGTTCGAAGTTAATATCTACTAGCTGGTTCATAGAAAATGGGGTCGGAAGAGAGGTCGTTTAACAATCCGTTAGACATGAAATTCGGTGGGTGGAGATTGCTTTCTACGCAGATTTAAGAATATCATTTTTGGACTTTGACCAAAGTTAATCACTGCCCAATTTTATACTTCACAGTAGGGATGAATGTGATCAATTCATACCGAAATCAAGCTGCCTTATTCTATCTTGTTTAAACAAAAGACGACACGTTAACGAAAATGCATAGGAAAATTACAGAGACAACGAGTCCAACCAATATTTTTAACACAACTTTTTATCCAAAACAAATTTTTATAGCAAATACCCTCAAGTAAAAAATATTTTTTTTTTGACAAAAATGCTCTTGTCTATAGATGATGGTGTCACATCAACATCTAAAAAGAATGTCGAACCAAGCACAATATGCCAGATCGAGTGCACATTGTTACACAACAATTGCTGGACAACGCTTTGGGCCTATTATCGAATCGCATGGGCTTGTTGTCGGACCCACATGGGCCTATTGCTGAACCACTCTTTGGCAATGCTCGACCACATGTGCCTATTATCGGTAGCTCTTTGACAGTACCAAATTGCATAGGGATATTATTGGACTGCTCGTTTATATTGTAAGACCACCTTTTTGTACTCATTACATAAAATGTTGAGTAGTGGGTGTTAGACGAGAGAGTGGGCATTTTGATCCTAAAAACTATGGCTTTTTTAGCGTTGCATTGGGGTAAAGTTTGTAATAAAAAAATAATTTATTATATATTTTTTTATTTACCATATTTTAAAAAGGGATCTGGTTTCTATGCGGCCAAACCCGCAAATGTAGAAATGCAGGCCTTTTAATAAATCTATTTTTGAGATAGGTAATTTTTAAGGATATGTAATCACTAATATGGAGTTTTTGAATATGAAAAAATAAATAAAATTAAAAAATTAAAAATAATAATTTTAATATAAAAAAAAAAAAAAATAGCTTTCCCCTTGTTGGAAAACCCCGAGGGTCAAATGTTTGACATGACTGCGAGGTGGATTTTTTAATCCGCTAAAAGCAGGAGGGAAATTAGCCGCTTGAAATTGAATGTTATTATTATTTTTGTTCCTTTATGGAGAGAGTTGATTTTGAATATTCCATGATCTCATCCATTCCCCATCTGCAACTCTGCAGAGAGAGTCCGTGTTGTGTTGTGTTTCAGAGAGAGAGAGAGAGCAGTCCCTGCTCTAGAATAGAGTGAAATGGGCCATACGGTATCAAGATCTTCTACGAGTGGCCTCAGTTCAGAGGTCTCTTCTCATTCATCTTCGGAATCTCGACGCTCTCGATTCCGGCGATTCCTCAGACGACACCGTCCTCACGATGGTGATCGCGACGATGGAGCCCCCACCACCAAGAACCTCACTACTGAAAATTTCTCCGGAATTGCTCTAATTCAACTCCAAAGCGTAAAACTCTCTCTCTCTCTCTCTCTCCCCCCTCGCTTCAACCCCTGTCATTAGCTATCTTCATTTCTCTTCTTGTTTTACCGGTACTACTATTATGACTTTTCCTCTCCTCCTCTTCTCTTATTCTTCTTGTTCTTCGACTTTTGCTACCAATTTGTTTTCCTTTTCAACTCTCATTTGTCTTTCTTGAAATTTCAGGCTGAGATGCAGTTCAAAGACAAGTGGTTTGCCTGTGTGTCTCTTGGGGAACAGACTTTTCGAACTACCACCTCTGAGAAGTAAGTGGGGTTTCCTGTTTTGTGTTCCATTTTTATGAGTTAATGGGATTTATTGTTTTGGGTTCCATAGTTGAGATTAAGTCCAAATCACTTTGTTGTTTTTACCCCCCTCTCTCTCTACGATACTTTCATAGGATGGAAAGGCTAGAGACACAACACAAAAAGTCATATAAGCCAAGCGGAATGATGAATTTCAAATGCTTTTCATGGCCCAGTGTCAACCCGAGAGGAACTGTAAATCTTTCAAGATCACAATCCTCAGTTATGATCTGTGTATGATATAGATTATGAAACCCATGCATGAAAAAAAGTATGGGTGAGGAGTATTGCAATCTTGTCTCATGAAATGTATAATAACCCTTCGCTCTCATTCCTTCCCCACTCTCAGGGGGGTTTATATACATATGCAATTTGTAAACTACAGTACCTAAAAAAAAAATGAAATTTAAAGTACATCCTCATATTAGGCAATGCGTCACATAACATAATTAAGTGCCTTTGTAAGAAAAGTGTGTGCTACTACCTACCTTAAATAGGAAAAGTCATAATTATAAGTTATAACTCATGGGAGATGCATGGTTTCCGTGTCAGATTCAAATGCTATAGCGCATCAGGCGAACTTTCCTATGGTATGACTGTAATTGGTATTGGCTAGGATTGCAAGAATTCGATAGAACTACTGTTCATTGTATGTCAAGCGGAGGATTTTTTCATAACTGTTTTTATATAATTCTCACCATACGGTAGAAAAAGGGCATTTATCTCTTTGATGTGCTGAATTTCCATATGAATGTGTCACAATTCACTGCATTCAGATAACAAATTGTTCTCCATGGTGCCATACTGCCATCAAACATTTTCTTGGGATTGTTAAAGGATGAAAGGGATGTTGTATGATTATCTTATTTGTTTTTATTCAGGTTCTTGAGTTTTATTATGTCTGTCATCCTTAGTTTATCCACCCCAAAAATTTAGTTTCTTTATAATTATTAGCTTTCATCTTTTTTCACTTGATAATTTCAAATATAAAATGAGAGTCGTAGTGAATTTTATGTTCATTACTTTCATAGTCATATTCGGACTCATTTTATTGCTTATGCATGCTGACCATTCATGAACGATGATGCAGTACAGATAAGCCCGTTTGGAACTCTGTGAGTAATTCTAACTAATCTTTTATTGCTTTAATTAAGAAATTTATCTGTTACATTTCTTATGAAAATCTCATCGTAATGTCATTAAAACTTACATCCTAAGGGATAAGTAATGCATTTTGATGGCTATGTAATGGTTTGATGCTGTGGGGAATGTCTCCCATAAGTATGGACTTGTTTGTCGGACAAAATGAACAATTTGTGAAGATACATGCATACACCAATACATTTGATTAATGGCTTATTGTGCGAAAATCTGAAAACCAGTTTAGAGCCACACGTATATATTGTTCTTTCATCTTTGTTAAATTAGGCACTCTGCCCTGCATATTAAACTTGGCAATTTAGAATTTCAAATCAAACGAATGGTACTTTTTGGTATCTTACTTGGTTTTTTGGGTTTATTTCCTTTTTTTGTTTTCTCTGCTGTCGTTTTTTTTTCGTTGTCACCTTTCTCGGTGATTATTGCTACCTGCTTGGGCCTTTTTGTATCTTTGTACTCCCTTTACCATCAATACAATGTCAAATTTATCAAAAAAAAAGAACATCTCAATTTGAAGAGACATGGCTTCTGAAGCCTATATCAAATACTACATGAACACTATGCCTAGTTTAGCTTAAAGAGCCTTATAAATTTATCATTAAAGAATTCTCTTGTTCCTTGGATAAACTTATTAATCAGTGGAAATGCCTAGGAATGCCTATTTATGGGGGTATTTCTATTAAGTAGAGGCTTTTGTGTCGAAGACAAGGATCTCTTTAGAAGCATTAGGTAGACAAGCAAGTCAACTCTAGATAATTCAAACTGAATGATAAAGACGTCTGGAATGCTTTCTCATCAACGGTATTTCTTTTTTATTTTTTCTTCTTTTGACATAGGTAAACATAATATTCACACTTCAGCTGTCATAGGATTACCTAAACAACCCCATTATACATTCAAATTTTTATTTTGACCATGTGTTACACTCTTACCATTCTTCATTCCATTCTAAGGGACTTTAAATTGTAGATACTCTATTACAATTATCTACTCCAAAGTCCAAATTTGCTCTCCTTAAGTTCTCTGTTCTATGGTCACATGCTCTGCAAAAACTGGTAGAGTTTCCATGGCCACCGCACTTACTTCTCCGAGCTCGCGTAAATTACAATATACCCGTCCAATCACAAGAACAACCACACCTAGCATTACAATCTGCATAAATGGCTACTTTTTGGTGCCTGGCTTTCGCATTCCATGGAGTTGATGAGGATTGACATTATGGCACCTTTCTGCTTTTCACCTAAATAAAAATCTGAAGTTGTTTGAATTCCGCCACTTGTTAATTCTTTATAGCTTAATGTTGATGGATTCGCAAAAGGAATATGAAAACAGTGATGAAAATAGTGAAGCTATCTTCAGGCCCATATTTTAATTAGAGATGAGAATAGTGAACTAGATGTTATTCAGGGTCACTAGAATCTATCTATTTACTAAAAGGTGAAAGCACGGCCACTCTGGGTTGGAAAGAATAGATGAAGTTCTTTCTAAAACCTTTGACATTTGAAAGCGCTTCTCTTAATGTGATAAGATTGCATAGAATGAATGCTCCAATCCAATGGAAACTCTGGGGGGTCATCTATTTAAGTGTTCTTTGTTTTTTTTGGTTGTCTTGTGTTACTGTGGTACATGAAACAAGGCATGTAAACTAAACAATGTATATTTATGCAAATATGGCTGTAGCTGGGATGAGTGGGTTTAGGCATCTTACACCTTCATAGTTTCTTTTGGTTAGCTTTCCCTTTTGCCTGAACTTGATTCTCATTTTCTATGGTGGAAGTTTTGATACTTGTGAGAAAATAAATTTGCTCAAACTTGCTCAATTTCTAAATGTATATTCTTTTATGGAATTATTGGAATAATGATGATAGTAATAGGGGTTACCTTTTATCAAATAATAATTGAAAATGACAAAATTGTTTGATTGGCAGATGAACCACATTAAATCTTTGATTTCTTGATGAAAATCACAAAAAGATGTAAATAACTTTCCCAAAATTTCTCATTATCTTTGTATTTATCTAATCTTGTGAAGCCCATAATTTATATAAATAAATAAATAACTAAATGAATGAACAAAAAATTTAAATTGACATTCTTTTATCTATAAGTTTCTTTATATATTTCTGGTGTATTTACACTCTTAAATGATCTTGAAGCGCTATCTTTGTGGCCCTGCAATAGGCATTTAATTGGCTTCCTCAAGTTGTTTTAGTGCCAAGCTTTGCTAATCCTTGTCACCCATAGGCCCTACTTCTTTCCTTCAAAAAAAAAAAAAAGGGACCTATATTGTCAAACACATGCTGCGAGTAAACTATGAGAATTGCGTCGGGGTTAGTAATTTATCAGTTTGATGAAGTATATACTAACATTCGCTTATATTTAACTTATAATGTTCGCTACACAAAATTGAAAAATAAAACAAATACATATGAATATCCATTTCTTAATAGTGAAAAACAAGTTCTTGGGCTGCACATTGTGGAAGTAGCATCACACAGATATGCATGAAAAATGTACATAATGTTTCCATCATGAGACAAATTTTACACATAAAATTCGGAAAAGAGTAAAAGGATAACCAAAAATTCTTTGGAGCCTGTCATGAAACTTAAATTGGAAGGGATACTTCCAAAATCCATGACACTTGAGTGATCATTACCTATTTATTTGGTGCCCAGTGTTCTTAGGTTATGTTCTGTTTTGGTTGATTCTTCTTGTGTTAGCTATTTTTAGGTGTTGGTTTGGAATCTGATATGATTAGCCTCCCTGAACTTTATTTTTCCTTCGTTAAAATGTTTTATTGTGTTTATAAACAAGAGACAATTGTATTTTGCCACAAAAGAGAGGGAAGGGGAAACCCAACTTTGTTTGTCTTTCTTGAAGCTCCAAAACGTTGAAGTTTTGTTCATGCGAATTAAAAAAGGTTCTGCTTGTGTTCTATAATTAAAGTTCTGTTAGCACCAATTCTTGAAGAAGGATCTCCAACTGTGTTTAGCTGCTTCGTCCGTAAATACTAATCTGGAGCTTTCTTTAATAATTACTTTGCAGGAGAAGAAAGTCGTGTTGGAAAGAAATGGGCCTCACATTGCACGCATAACAGTGTTTGAGGTCTGTGATTTTCTCTTGATGCTTTTTCTTCTTAATTAGCTGGAAAAAGCGGTCTCAAAAGAACCTTGCCATCACGAAATGATTTGCAGGTTGCTAAATTGCCAGCAAAAAAACCAACTTGCTTTTGCTGGGAAATCATGAAAAACAAAAGAATATGCAGGAATCTTGTAACATCTTTTCAATACTAAAAATACCAGTGGCATTGAAATGCCGGAATACTAGACTAAAACCTTCTTTATTTCCAGGAACATCTCATACTGAATTTTTTCTGAGATTGTATGTCTATGTTGACAGTTGACAGCTAAATTCATATATTTGGAGTTGATAATTATAATTTATGCACATTGTGATAGAATAGTGCAACAAATTCTGGGGGAATGCTAAATATGCGTGTTTGGGGCTTTGCGTGACCTTATTGCTCCACTTGTATGACCTTCATCAGACTGTGTTTTTAAGTGAAGTGAGGTGTTAGTCTATGGAACTTGGTTCATGTAGTTTGTCTAGAGGGGGACGTGTGTGAAAATTGTTCAAGTCTGAACCTGTTTCCTCTCGTAAAACTTTCATTTATGATATTGTTCAAACTTGCCAATTTTATATTAATCCCAATTGAGAGATTATGCCATATGCCTTCCCTATGTTGCCTTTGGTTTCATTTTGGGTGCTAGTTTTTTGTTTGATCCATTCCCGAACACCCTATTTGATTGAATGAAACCAGTTCCTGCTGAACTCCATGCAACTCCATATGAACGTTCCTTGTACACTTTTGATTGGAAATTTTTTTTTTGGGTGGATGTAGCCTTTCCAATCCAATACTAGGTGGTTATCAATGAAATCAGTGGTTGTGTGGAACTCAAGATATTAAATTAAATTTTTTTCTTTTTATTCAATATACCTGTCACCTGACATCCACTTACATGGGCCACTATACGCTGCTGTAAATTAAATTTAAAACCTTAAATACAACCTAAGATCTTTACTTTTACTGCCAAAGCAAATAAAAACCATCCAAAAGCAATTAACAATCTTCCATAGTTTTGAGTACAATATATGTTCTTGGAAATTCATAGAAAAATATAACATAGGACTGAAAAATAATTAAGTCTATTGGGAAGACTTACTGAAAGGTGCCTGAAGTTACCTTCCACTATAGTTTTGAGTGCAATATATGTTCTTGGAAATTCACAGAAAAATATGAAATATGACTGAAAAATAATTAAATCTACTGGGAAGGCTTACTAAAAGGTGCTTGGAGTTACCTTCACAGGTCTTGATCCACCCCATACCCGATTCCCTGACCAAAGATGGATTTTTGTCCCGTTTGATCTTGCTGGAATTTCAGAGATGTGAAGCTTCCACGAGCAATATCTCCTACCATAGGGTTTTAGAGAGCATAGAAACCTAATTAGGATTTGTAGGAACCCTTAGGAACAAATTAGGGCTTGGCTTGAAGGCATAGAATCCTCCTATAGCTGGGCATACCAGTTTTCCAAACAGCAAAATCCTAATGTGCCACCCTTATCTTATCAAATTTTGGGTGGCATGACCCTTTTTGGAAGGGGGGAGAGAGAAAAATGAATTTTTTTAATGGAAGAGAGAGAGACTTGGTGCATGGAGGGGAGCGAAATGTGTCTTGAGAGAGAGGGGCTCAATGGTGTTTAAATAGAAATTATTGTCCTATTTGGATTAGAATTCCTTCCTTAGGTATTGCTTATCCAATGGCACAAATTGACCAATAGGAACTTACGAAATCAGTGGCGGTGAGAGAGAACAAATCTGAGCCATCCATCTCACAAATCAGCCGTCATGATTTTTGGAGGATTATTAGGAACCTTATCCCCTTATAATTTGACCCAATACCAATTTCTATTAAATTAGAATTATATCCAATCTAAAACTTTCTAATATCTTTCCAAAATCTGTAGGCAGCCAAAATAATTAGAGTTTTGGTCTAACCAAACTTCTAATTAAAACAATCTTTTAACATTTAAAAGATGGAAAATGGTTTGATAGGGCCGCAACTCTATCAAAATAAGTAAAGCCTCGCCTCATAACTCATTGAGAGTTGCAATGCAAGCATTAGAAAACCTTTACATTGATTATCTTTGCTTGAACATTATGGTTTTGAAAAAAAAAAAGGATTCCAGGCTTTAAAATAGTGTATATTGTAACAAATTATCTAGACCGTCTATTTCGCCCTAAAAATAAGTGTTCATAGATTTGCAAGATCTGTATCATTTTTTGAGTTTAAAATATCATTGTCAGTGTTGGAAATTGATTTTAGAGTCATCATGGAGATTTTTGTTGTTGAAAGTGCTTTCCGGGTGAGGATTTGAGGTGAGGCTTTATTTGATTTTCATAAAGCCTTGGCCTTATAGAAACCTCATCCTTAAAAGATTCTCCTAAAATAACCGTTAACAGAAAAAAGAAATGTTACATAAATAAAAGAAAGAGGGTGTGCCACCCAAGAGAGATTAAGTGGTTCCCACAATGGCCCATGTCGCACTCATGGGTGGCACACATGTAGGGCTGGATCCTTGGCCCCACATGTGCCCTTCCTAAATTTCGAAATTACGAAGTTGCCCTTTTGAAGGATTTTACAGCATAAATAAATTTTTAAAATTCTGAAAATTTGTAAAAACATGTAAGAACATTTGTAATACTAAAATAAAATATTTTAAAAGTGGACTGGTACCAATGGGTCAAAATTAGCGACAACAAGGGTACTCCACTTGACTCAAGAGCCATGACCTACTACTGTTTTCTTTTCCAACCCAACAAAGACCCACCCATGACCCACAGTTTTGATGCAGGGCCTTATGATTAGCTTGTCAAAGTTGGACAATAAATAGTGGAACCATGATCATAGATTGTGGATTTTTGTCCCCCTCTTTAAGAGCAAGTCCAATACTTGTCACCAAAGTGCAAAAGTGACTTTCTCTATGCACATGTACACGTGTCCCTCTATAGGGTTGCATTCTCAGTAATGCGGTTGTCATGTATACATGCGGAAGATTGTTGAGGCTTTAGCTCTTACTCTCACACATAGGAAACCACACAGTTCTCCTGGCCTACAAACATTATCCCTGGTTATCTCTCTGACCTCAACAAGGGACAACCCATTGTAAACCATTCTTGGTACTGCCACATGCCCAGGGGTACGGGTTTTGGACATAACCATCGGCATAATCCGCCTAACTTTTGGTCAGTCAACACACACTCCCATTGAAGTGCATATTCCATTATGAATTATCATTTTTACAAGCTCTCTAGGCCTTTAAAGGCCACAAAACCCAACAATCAATTGCTCAATGGATTGCTAGAAATTAGGCTTGGGTCAAGACGGTAGCTGTTGGGTTTTCATAGCACAATGTCTCAAGTTCCATTCCTATGTAACCTTGTCAAAAAAAACAAAAACTAAATGGATTGCCCAGCTACTTCACCAGCAAACCCCCTGCCTTGGAGTCTTAGCAATCAATAGACTGTTTCATAAGTGAAAAACCTATTCTTGACTTCCAATCCACTCAAAGGAGAACTTGAACTATTTCTTCTTCCAGTGTAAGTCTCCTGGGTGGATGCACTGGAAAATCTTAGAAAACTTGAATTTGTTGCAAGTTTTTCTGCCAAGAAAACTTTTTCCATTGGCAACAATCTCCTTAATTGTGCTAGTTTATTTTTCCCATAATTTCTCTATTATGACTGGAGCCAAAAAGCGGTTCTTGTATGATCCTTGGACACCTCTGCTCTAACATACATAAAATGTATGGGATCCCATGCAAGTGACCAACTCTTTTTATCCAACTAATCAATATATCTTCTTTATCATCATCTGATGGATAACGTTTATACTTTTTATTTCTGATAGTTTTTGTTCGATGAATAGCAGGGATTTTATATTTCTTGTAGCCATGAAGACATAGTTGTTTATTATATTGTTATATTATTTTTTTCAGTGTAGGGCTTCATGTCTTATAATTGACTGGTTTTACAGACCAACAGGCTTTCCAAAAATAATCTGATCGGTTATTGTGAGATTGACATTCTAGAGGTTCTCAATCGTGTAAGTTCTCCTCTTTCCTACCTGTGCTTGCTCTCCTTAATGCAAAATATGCTGGTGAATATGAGCTATTATGGTGCTATTTGTGTTGATGTTTTGGCTTGTGAAGAAATGTTTAGGGAGTGTTTGATTGGTGGAACTTTTTGGGAGTAGAAAACCCAAGTTTCACCAAATCAAACTTCCGCGTTTGATTTCACTTGTGGAAGCCGCATACTAGTTGGGGTGGCTTCCTAGAGCATGTAAATTTCATACTATTTTTTATACCTGCCCCTTCCATACAAAAGCATGGAAGGGATGGTTTCGATATTTTGTGGGAAGGGGGACTTTCGCGGCCCTCTCTGCCACAAGCAAACACGCCCTTACTTTAATGAGTTTGGAAAAGCTATCTTCTACAAATATAGATGATTGCACAATAATGCAGGCTATGTTGCTGATTGTTTCTTTTGGGATTTGAGAGTAATTTTAATTGACCCAATTTAGAAAATTATTGACTAGTTGACGAGAGTTTCCCGAGTCCCATTACAAGCACATAATTGACCTCAATTGTGTATTTTCTGTGAATCATCTATCTGACAGTTCCTCATTATTTCCCTGTTCAATATGATTTTATGTTTTTATGAAGCAGATGAATTGACTCGTGTTATTGCATGTAGATATTATCTATTCCCATGCAAATATTGAAAGTTTCAATGTTTGAACCAGTGTTGTTAAGACCAGACTAGTGACCGAACTGGTGAGGGCACTGGTCTAGTCAGGCCGGATTGGTTCACCAGTTAGACTGATCAATTAAAAAAACAAAAAAGAGAAAATAGTATAATGGACATATTAGAGGTTCAAATCAGGTAGATTTGATGGCCAACTTCCTCCCTGAAAATTTTCAACATTGTGCCAGAATTAGG